CATACAGAGCTGATGTGAAAGACCACCCTGAAAAGCGATGTTTTGAGTTACCTCCTGAATGTCAACAAGGAGGGAGCCAGGCATAGCTCTTCTGGAAGCTGGTTCCACTAAGGCAGTGCCACCTCGGAGAAGGCCCTGTCTCTTCTGGATGACTTATGGGCCTTGCTCAGGTTGGCAATATGGAGGAGCATCGCCTGGGAGGATCCGATGGGTCAGGCAGAGGACACTGGTGACAGACACTCCAACAAGTAACATGATCCCCACTGTTCCACTGAAATGACTCCTAAAGTAGCTTATAGTGGATCCAAAGTAAGCTGGTAAATGCTACAGGTTTATAATTGAATTGATATGTCAGAAAAGGAAGAGGTGAGGGGGAAGGAAGAGGAAAACAAACAATCACAGTGTGTTTGGAGAACTCATGGAGTTGGAAATACAGATGACTTATATTTTCCAGATCCAGGTGTCAAAGAATGGTCAATGTCATATCTCTGCTCTCAAATCCATCCTCATACCCACAAATTTCTCCATCTGTGAACAGTACTGGCCTTACAATGAACCCTAGTGTTCTTCAGGCTGCAGTTCCTTGCCCCCTCCCTCTAGGTTTCTGGGAATTGCAATCTGAAAATACCTGCGTTACCCAAGATTGGGGACCACTACGGCAATGGAAGCAATTACCTTGCGAGGTAGTGAGGCATTCAAGAGAAATTTAAAAAACGATCGTCTGGAAGATATCCTTTGATTTATATTCTTGCACTGAGCAGCGGGTTGTACTCAATGGCCTTATCGGCCCCTTCTGACTTAATGATTCTATGGTTCCATGATTATACAACAGTGGTTTACATCATTAAGAAATATTAAAAGATAATATTAAGGCTAAAACAGCAAGTATACAAATATTAACAAGGAAGAAGCAAATGCCACTCTAAGAGATGGTAAACACAAGTAGTACATCTCACCTTCCCTTCTCCTCAATTTGTCTTCATATCAGCCCTGTGAGGTAGACCAAGCTTAGAGAAATGAGTGACCTGTCCAAAGAGCTCCAAGGCTGAAGAGGGAACCGAACCTGGGACTCCCCCCCCAAGCTAGTACTCTAACCACTCTATCACACTGATTGTGCAGCAGAAGCTGCAAGAATTGATTGTGTTGTTGTTTTTGTTGTTTAAAGATATTTGTTCATCTCGGTTTTCTTCCTCTTCCTCTTCCCATCACATCCTTGGTTATTTTGTCAGCAGGAGCAGCCTCCAAAAAAAACTACTCAATCACAACACAGGTTTGGCAGTGATCAAAATAACCAATCAATCATCACCTGCATATTTATCACAGTTGCTAATGCAAACATTTGTTGAACAAGAACATTGACAGTACTCAGCAGGGCGGAAGAAAGAGAAACGACGGAGGATTTGCACCTTCTTTGACATTATATCTGATGAATTTTCCACATTACACAAACCTCTCCCTATATGTTATTTCTCCACCCTTTTGTTCTGTCCAAGGTGGCATACTTTCCACCTCCATCAATTTATTCTCAACCTTGTCTTCAGATGGCCAATTAGGCATCGCCCAAAAGAGGATGTCAATTTCCATTAATTTGGTATGCCCTCATTAGGCATGACATTTTTTGGATTTATTTTTTAACTACACAGCCCATAATTCTCCATTCTGGAAGTTCCACCAGGCATAAAGACACAATGTGGCTCACCTTGGAAAAAAAAAGGCCTAAGTGGGAAGGTTTTGTGGCCCAGCTCAACCTACTTGGAACCTTCCTTTTTGAACACAAAGCTAGGCTACCAAGCCTCCCAGGTTAGACTTATTTTCTAGGTGAGCCACATGTGTCTGTGTAACAGAACAGAACTCCCAGGATTGAGATTTATGGGGTTTGTAGTCCAAAAAAAGCTGAAAATCTCAAGGCTCATTTATAAGGTTGAATGCACATTTATGCATTTATGTTCCTCTATGCAATGTTTCCATATTTTCTTATACGGGCTGGATTGTAAAGGCTATTAGTCAACACTCAAAATGATCTCCTTCTCACTGCTGACCAAAGAGATTCTACTCCCTGAGGCACAGTAGCACCCCCGCCAGACTGCAGAGTAAGTGATGCACTTTGGCATCCACACAGCAAAAGCACCGTTCTCTTTTCCTGGGAGTAAAACAAAAAAAATATAAGTGGCTTGCGCCTGGACTCGTTGTATATAGTGAGACTTAAGTTAGCTCTGTTCCAAATCCAATTTCTAGTCCAAATCAGAGGAGACCCACCAAATTAATTTCTGATGGCAGGTCAACATTTATGTAAATCCTACTGATTCAATAGGTTGGCCATTGGATTTCAGCCAATTAGTATGGATGAATCTGAATCCAAGTCAGTAATAATTAATCAGTAACTATCCCTTGCCTTTTCTTGACACTACAGATCTGCCACCTGAGGCAACTACCTAACTCTACCCAACGGTAAATCTGGCTCCACTACCTCTCCTATTTCATGCTATCATATACATTTTCTCAGGAACCCCCTCCCACAGGAGGCAAGACTGGCTCCATCTTTGCTATCCTTCCACAAGCAGGCAAAGACCTTTCCCTTCAAGGCAAGACTTCCATCAGTAATCTAGCTACCTATGTGTGATTTTTAGATGGATTGTTATAAATTGTTACATTTTCCATGTTTGTGTTTTCCATTTCTCAAAGTAAACATTTATGCATATTTATTGATCTTTGCCTTAATATTGCCTGTTAACGTTGTAAGATGCCTCCTTACTCATTGTTCGTAGTTTTTAATATTGTCTTTTAATGATGTTAACCACCGCTGTGTACTCATTGTTTTCAACTTTAAATACTGTCTTTCATTATTTGTAAGCCACCTTGGGTCCTTTTCAAGGAGAAAGGCGGGATAAAAATATAATAAATAAATAAAATCTAACCTCAGCCTAGTAAACTCATTCAGTTAATAGAAAATGAAGCTGCTATTATTTTTATAAAATAAATATATGCTGGCTACTTCCTAGCTCCTCCACCACCATCCTTGCCACCCCACCTCTGTTTTCAAGTTTTAACTTATCAGGTTGTTTCCATAATTAAATATTTATCTTGGCTTTTGCTTCACTGTCATGGAAACATTGGTTAACAAGCAGCGAGAAAAACAGAACACTATGGACGTGTATTTTTCCCTTCCCTCTTTTTTTTTATCGCTTTATTTTAAAAGAGATGGCTCTGTCACACAGAGGTCTCATCAACATGGAACGAACAGCCTTTCCTGGATTTATAGGGGGATCCGTTTGGTATTTAATAAAGGATTGTGGCTGTTGTTGTTTCAGATAATAGTGAGGAACAGCTGTTCGCAGTTGCAGCAACGCACGGCAACTTATATTTGCTCCTCTAAAAAGCATACGGAAGGGGAGCTTTATTCAGATTGTTCCCCCAGCTAATTGAGTCTCTTTCCTTGGCAGGAAACTCAGCAGTGAGGGAGGGGGCAAGGAATTTAAAATTTGCTGTCTATATTTATTCTACCAATGTAAGAGATTTTTAGATCTGCATACTTCCAAACAAATAAAGGTTGCAACATTCAATTATCTTGCTTTCCTCCATTCCTTTTCTATTTATTATTTATTTGTTTCATTTATATTTCATCTTTCCTCCAGTAGACTTAAGGGGAGAAGAATATATGATTTATGTCCTGCTCCCTACTTGATCCTCACAACAAATCTGCAGGGATATTGGCAAGTCTCTGGGTATCGTCCCAAGTCTGAGTCTTTAGTACCAAGTCCCAGGCCTGATTCGTTGTTACAAAACAAGTGTTTTTCCCCTGAAGGGGAGGGGTGGGTGGGTGTCGAGTCCAAGTAATTGACCAAAACAAAACAAAAAAAATGAGTTCAGTCAAAGTAGAGTCAAGAGTTTGACTTGAGAGCAAGTCTCACAACTCAAGTCTCCCTCCCTGCAAGTCCTCGAGGGAGATCAGTGCCATTCAGGAAATAGCAACTGTCCCAAAATAACCTTAGCACATTTTTAAAGCAGGTTTCTCAGATACCTGCATTTTCCAGAAGGTGGAAGAAGTAAAAAAAAAAAGAGAGAGAGAGGATCTGTTAGCATGGATCATAGAATAATGGAGTCGGAAGAATCCTATAAGGTCATCTAGTCCAACCATCTGCATCATGTGCAGATTGATGTTCCCTCACCGCATGTGACCCTAACCAACAGGGAAGAGTTGATCGGTGAGGTGGAAATTATGGGAAACATGGGTGGAAGGGACTCATCTTCTTTGGATCCATTATACAAAAGCAGGGGAATGCTAAATTAGCCAGGCATGCACTCTGGACTTTAAGGAAGCTAATGCCCAAAGTATAAAGCGATATTGAATGAAATTCCTTGGTCTGAAATTGGAGGCAAAGAGTGTTTATTAGTGATCTCCATTTATCCTGGAGAGACATGAGAAGTGGGTAGCATCAAACTAGTCACACACATTCATCATGACTTACTGTCATGAACTTCTGGTCAAATTTCTTTTTGATTCTGTTGAAGTGCAGAGACTGACAGAGGAGAATAGCTACAAATTCTCCAGATAGTCCACCCTTTTTCACATTAACCAGCACTTACAGTTTCAATAGCTCACTCTGAGACATTAGTGGTAGAAGAACAAAAACATTTCATTATTTAGTTGGGAGCAGATCAACGGCAAACTAATGGACATCCACTGCTTCCAACAGGCTGAAAGACAGAGAAAGGAACACCCAGCAGATAAGGAGGGCTCTCTTTGGATTCAGAGACTGGAAGGAACAATTGGCCAGTCCTGGACAGATCCTCCAATCACTCAAACCACAGGCAACATGCAAATAAAATTCCAACACTCACCTGATAGGGTTGTTGTGAGAATCAAATGAGACGGAGCTATCTATGCCACCTTGCACGTCTTATATGAAATGCACGCTAGGTAGAAGAATCACTCAAACCACAGGCAACATGCAAATAAAATTCCAACACTCACCTGATAGGGTTGTTGTGAGAATCAAATGAGACGGAGCTATCTATGCCACCTTGCATGTCTTATATGAAATGCATGCTAGGTAGAAGGTACGGCCAACACTGAACATAGAACAAACAAATGAAATAATAGTGAACCCAATGATTGCCATTGGTGGAAGTTAGAGTCCTGCAATATTTGGGCAGCCACTGAATTCCTATCCTTAGCTTAAAGAACACCATGAGGCCCTTTAAGCAAAGCATACCTCTCTACCCTGTATCCCATTATTTGGAGATGAAGATGGCAATCTGGCTGAGAGAAAGCAAGAGAGTCTGCAATCCTGACTTGTTAAGCGAATGCAAGGGGAGGTGTTGGAGCAAATAATTGGAGAGTACGATGAAATACCTCTACACTAGTGATCACTGCCTATACAAATTAGTCTCCTGCAAGAGATTTAGTATGTTCAGCAGCAGCATCTGCCATCAAGTCAATTCTGGTTCATGGCGACCCTTTTTCGGGTTTTTCCAGGAAGAGAATACTGAGATGGTAAATAACTATTCCCTTCTTCTTGCCCAAGGCCACGCAGGCTGGCTCTGCTGGGAGGCACAGTGACAATTCAAGCTCCCAACCTCTGGCTTCGCAACCAGAGATCTAAACCACTGACCTATCCAAACAGTCCTCTCCATGCCGCAACAGATCGGGAAGACTTCGACAAACATCCCTCCACAGAAACTAGTCTATGTATGCTAAGACATTTGCAGCACCACATTATGTTGCAAATCTGCCAGCCAGGCATTCAAGGAGGAGAACTAGAGGCTTCCTGGGGAAGTTAAAGGGCCAAGGCCAAAACAGAAATCACAGCTGAAGTCTACAAGTGGAGAGAGAAAGCTTTCCTCCATTCAGTATGGGATCTCACCATGTCTCTCACCTTCACTTGCCTAGAGAAGCAAACTGCCCATATTTCAAAAACAAGGAGGGGTATAAGACATAGGAGTGAAAGATTTTGGCCAGAAATCCTATGCTGACTGGGGAATTTTGGGAATCATAACCTGACAAAGTAATTTTTCCAACATCCAGGTAGTTGTGTGTCCTACCTTTTTTTTTCATCTAGAGAGATCCAATAATGGTGTGGTCCAGTGATTCAGTGGCAACCCAGGTGTTCTTGGACTGCAACTCCAAGAAATCATGGGGAGCACAGCTAGTGGTGAAGCCTTCTAGGAGTTTCAGTCCAAAAACATCTGGGGACCCAAGGTTGGGAATCAATGGTGTAGTTGGCTGAAGTGACTAGACAAGGGCCTAGAAGACCATCCAGTGTGATGAATCCATTCTAGGTTTTAGCCTGTGCTTTATGGGAGCTTTCCAAGGTGCTGAACCCTAATCCCAAAATAGGATCAGAACCTTAGGTAATTCCTGTAATTTGCAGGATAAAACTCAGAGCGGATTCACAGCACCTCCAAAACGGGAGCCAGAATTCTCTAGAGAATAAGTTTTAAATACAGACAACTGGACTGCTCCCAAATGAGAAACCCACTGTCAAAGTTTAACAGTAATTTTGACATTTGGCTGTTAACAAGATGCCTTTCCCATGGAGCAAATGCATACTGACAAGCAAAAATCCCTATGCGTGTTTTGGTAAATTGCAATCCATTACTAGATCTATATGAGTGAGATTTCCTCCAACAATGAAATGTTACTACCATTTCTTTTATAAGTCACAGCATACACTGTCCAAGCAAAGGTTTTCAAACCAGACTTTTCTGTTGCTACAGCCTGCAGCTTGCTTATACATGGTGCATTTTACTCCAAACACAGAGCTACTGTGAATCCAGGACACTGAAGAATAACTACAGCTGCAACCTTATGCAAATCTACATCAATGCAACCCCCGGTGGATTCAGAGTTTTCAAGTAGACATGCACAAAATTTGCACTGTACAAAAATAAAAGAGTCATTGTCCCCACCCCTTTATCTGCTGCCAGAGGTAGCTGTCTAAGTCTGCCTAATGGTAGGGCTGGAGCTACATTCACACATTTGGCTATTCTGCATTTAATTGACAGCATGCATTAAGAGAGGCAGGAAAGCTGTCTGCTTACAAAATGCCTGTCCACAGCTGCTTCTGATAGGATTCTACATGATGCCAAAGACTAACCTCTGCGTAAACATCATCACAAAGACAAAACCAGAATTAGTTGGCCTGACACCACCAGCAGAGGCTGCTGAATGGGAAGTCATAGGGTAGGGGAATCCACTTCATGTTTTAGCCTGAACTTCAAAGGAGCTTTCAGAGGATCCTAGAACCATGGTGCTGGAAGAGACCTAGACAGTTTATGAGTCCAGCCACCTGAAAAAATTAGAGAAGCTACTTCATGTGCAAAGTTCATCATCTTGAATAATCCCTGCAACGTTTGAAATAGAGTGGACCCTCGACTTACAGACGGCTCGACTTACAGACTTTTCGAGTTACAGACTTCTCTGGCCGCAAAATTTAGATTCGACTTGCAGCCGGAGAATCGACTTACAGACCAGAAAAAAACCAAAATGGAACAAAAATAGAATAAAAACTGCCAGTTATGGGATTAATCAGTTTTCAATGCATTGTAGGTCAATGGAGATTCGACCTACAGACTTTTCGACTTGCTTCATGTGCAAAGTTCATCATCTTGAATAGTCCCTGCAACGTTTGAAATACAAAAGCCGTGGGGGATTGGTTTCAAGCCCCCCCCCCCTGCAGATGCCAAGAATCACAGAATCTGTAAGTAGAGGGTCCACTGTACAAAAGCCGTGGGGGAATGGTTCCAAGCCCCCCCTGCAGATGCCAAGAATCACAGATAACAGTGAACTGCACATATAACATTGTCTCTACTTCCCTCTAGTGGTCTATTCTGGTAGTTGCACCATAAAAGTACGTATTTCTGGATATTGTCATTTAGTATTTATCATACAGTATTTTCAGACTGTGGTAAGTGAAACCACTGATACTGATCCTGCAGATACGTGGGTCCTACTGTAAAATCCAGAGAGGATTCACTGCCTCCGCTACCACCAACTCCAGCTCATCTAGGGTTTTGTTTGTCCATGGCAAAGGTGCTTCTCAGCAGGAAACGCCCACTCTGCTTAAAGCCCATCCTTTTGTTTATATCAAAGCAAACTCCACTGCATACATTAACCACCATGAGCACACTGTTGCAATACTACTTTTATATCAAGTCAGCATATTAAAATACATTAACTTGTTTTTCCATAATTAATTCCTTTCATCAATGAAAAGGGCAAAGATTAAGGCAGGCCAATGATAACCTACTCATTCCCTTGATGAATGTCCTACTTTTCTGCTTCATCAGATGGCAGAACAAGCCAGCATCTGACATACAGGAGAAACTTGAACATTGCCCCCCCCCCAAAAAAAGCCAATGCAGCACCAAAAGGGAGGAGTGACAAAAAGCAGAGAGAAATCTACATAACATTTGAATGTGTTCAATTATAAACTTAGATATACATTTGGAAATAACTGATTGAATTAAAATGGAAATGCAATCCATCTCTCCAAGGTGGGGAAGAATGGGACCAGGTGATTAGCGTCTTCCAGGTGCTGCTAATTGTTGGTGAGTCTGTTTCTAGGACTCTGTTATGAATGGAATTTAGGGGGTGGGGACTACAAATCCCATAATTCTCCATTCTGTAAGTTTGACAGACTCCTTATAAGCATCAAAATGTAACTCACCTGGGAGAAAAGCCTAAGCCCCTGGAAGGCTTCATGGCCTAGCTCTGCCCAAGCTTCCTGCTCCTGCACTGGTGCCAGTTGGAAGCTTTCTTTCTGGATAGGAAGCGAGGTGGAGCTGGGCCTGGTTACATCTCAAAGCCTTCCAGCTACCAAGAGTCACCATGCTGGCTGGGGTGATTGTGAGAACTGCGGTCTAAAAAAAGTAAACTTTTCTACACTGCGGTAGTTGCCTTGGAGCCCGCCATCAAGTCGGCAGTGGAAATCTCCTGCTTGCAATCTTGTTTATTTAGACCACCGCTTCTGTTGATGCCACAACTCCTACGACTGGGCAGGGAACCAGGTGGCCTGGCCCTTTGTTCTTTCTGCTCCTCCTTGACATGACCGACTGCCATTCTGTTTTAGCCCCTATGGCTCCCAACTGCCCTCTCAGCACTTGGCAACCAGGAAGAGAAAGAGCAGCCACTGTTCTTTTGTGCTGGAACCTGGAACCCTAGTTCTGGACCCCTAGAGTTCAAGGAAGTAGCAAAGTGGAGTGGAACCCAGTGAGTCTGGCCTGGCACAAGCCATTTTGAGGCCAAAAGCATCAAGTTGATAGTTGAGTTGGATGTTTTCTTCAAAAAGCTGAATCCTGGCCCCCAATCTTTTCCAAACCATGGACCTGTTGGGTGGACGAGGCACAAGTGCAGATGGGGGTGGGTGGGGTACCCATGCGTGCATGCATAGGGCACTCGTACGTGTCAGTGGGCAGGGAATACACATGATTGTGTGCGTGCATGGGGGTGTGTGCGTGCGGGGTTGGTGGATCTGTCTCCATGGCCCTGTCCTGCCAAAGCCATGGCCGACCAGGGGTTGGGGACCCTGGCTCTATGGAAACTAAAATAAAAACATGTCTCTTCTGTCCCAGCATCTTGCAGCTGCCTGAGGTGGTAGCCCCAGTCTGCCAAAGGATGAGGGCAGCTCTACAGCTCCGCCACTTTTACCAGCCTGCCTTTCTAACATTAAGGGGACATTCATTTGTTGCTTCTGCCAACTAGTAGGTAGAATCTGTTTGTGAGTAGTTTCAGTCACACCAGGTGATGAATCCTCTCTGAGCTTTGCTCCAAACTTTATAGGAGTAATTTGAGCAGGAAAGTTGGCTTGTCTTTGGGTCTGAGTCCCAAGTCTGAGTCCGGGTCTTTGGTACCAAGTCCCAAGTCTGAAGTCTGAATCCCTATTAAAAACAAACTTTTTTCTCTAGAAAAAAAAGGGGGGCGGGCTCTGAGTCGCAAATGAACTCGGATCCATTGGGGGGGGAACCCAAGTTGAGTCAAGTCACCAGTGTGACTGAAGCCCAACTGGACAGCGAGTCCCATGGCTTGAGTCCTCATCCCTGCATTTCAGGTGCTGAAGCTTGGGCAGCCC